TACTACTACTACTACTACTGTTACTACTACTACTACCACTACTACTGTTACTACTACTACTACTACTACTTCTACTACTGTTACTACTACTACTACTACTACTACTGTTACTACTACTACTACTACTACTACTACTACTGTTACTACTACTACTACTACTACTACTATTACTACTTCTACTACTACTACTACTACTACTGTTACTACTACTACTACTACTACTACTACTACTGTTACTACTACTACTACTACTACTACTATTACTACTTCTACTACTACTACTACTACTACTGTTACTACTACTACTACTACTGTTACTACTACTACTACTACTACTACTATTACTACTTCTACTACTACTACTACTACTGTTACTACTACTACTACTACTGTTACTACTACTACTACTACTACTACTACTACTACTACTGTTACTACTACTACTACTACTACTATTACTACTTCTACTACTACTACTACTACTACTGTTACTACTACTACTACTACTGTTACTACTACTACTACTACTACTACTACTACTACTACTACTACTGTTACTACTACTACTACTACTGTTACTACTACTACTACTACTGTTACTACTACTACTACTACTATTACTACTTCTACTACTACTACTTCTACTACTGTTACTACTACTACTACTACTGTTACTACTACTACTACTACTGTTACTACTACTACTACTACTTCTACTACTACTACTACTACTACTACTACTACTACTGTTACTACTACTACGACTACTACTGTTACTACTACTACTGTTACTACTACTACTACTACTGTTACTACTACTACTACTACTACTACTACTACTACTACTGTTACTACTACTACGACTACTACTGTTACTACTACTACTACTGTTACTACTACTACTACTACTTCTACTACTACTACTACTACTACTACTACTACTACTACTGTTACTACTACTACGACTACTACTGTTACTACTACTACTGTTACTACTACTACTACTGTTACTACTACTACTACTACTGTTACTACTACTGTTACTACTACTACTACTACTACTACTTCTACTACTGTTACTACTAATACTACTACTACTACTACTGTTACTACTACTACTACTACTACTACTGTTACTACTACTACTATTACTACTGTTACTACTACTACTACTACTACAACTACTGTTACTACAACTACTACTAGTACTGTTACTACAACTACTACTACTACTGTTACTACTACTACTACTACTACTGTTACTACTACTACTACTACTGCTACTACTACTACTGCTACTGTTACTACTACTACTACTAGTTCTACTACTACTACTGCTACTACTACTGTTACTACTACTACTACTAGTACTACTACTACTACTACTGTTACTGCTACTACTACTACTACTACTACTGTTACTACTACTACTACTGTTACTACTAATACTACTGTTACTACTACTACTACTAGTACTACTGCTACTACAACTACTACTACTACTACTACTACTACTACTACGACTGCATCTACTACGACTGCATCTACTACGACTGCATCTACTACTACTTGTAATGCCCGTCACTATGAACTTTCCACCCACATTAAAGTTGTACAGGAGATATAACTGAAATACTGTAAGACCCGTTGCCTGACACATTTTGATAGAACGGGTATATTCCAGTTTTCAAGCACGGAGGTAACAACCCACACCGATACAATGTAATCACGTTTGTCTCCTCACACACAGTCCCCCTGTGAGGTGTTTGGAGGGTTAGCATGCGGCACTTGATGTGTGTGCCGGGTAGCTGCTAAGCCTTAGACTCACACAGGTAAAACAGAGCATGTTGGAGAGCAATTGACTCCAGCGCACTATTGGGTTGATCAGGTTAACACTGCACGTGTTGGACAGTAACTGAATAGATGCAGATACATTGCCATTTGGAGGTTACAATTTAAAACTGACATCATGGGGCCCTCGTTAATCCGGACATACGAATTTAATACTACCGTAAGGGTATGGATGAACGGGTTTTTAACGGTCAGTGCGCGTTTACATTGCATTCTCAACTCTCTGGGAATTATGCAACCCAAGGTGCCTGTAAAGTGGGGTGAAATTGGGCTTAACGACGCGTCCAAGATTATTGCACTTATTTAGCACACTTAGTCCGGACTAATGCCGATTTTATAATGCTAACCGACTGAGATACCATACCGCAGTTGAATACCCTACTCAGACATTCAATGCCGATCGCCAGGTAGGGTAACAACAAGTACCACCTACGGTGCCTGTAGGACGCTTAAAGACTTGCATTCCGTCCTGCTGGGTACCCATTCGCTGCTTAAACAACAAATGGCAACAAAGGGACATGTTGAAATCGAATGAATTATTACACAGTTTAGTGGATCAGCGTGCAGTGCTTTATGCAATAGAACCCAAGCTGACATATCGGGGCGGTGGGGTAGCCTATTGGTCATCAGGTTCGATTACTTACATGGGTACAATGTATGAAGCCCATTCCCAGTGTCCCAGTCGTGTGTTTGCTGGAATGTACCTATTCACTGCTGGGAAACAGAGGTGAGCATTTCTCGAGGGGGACACGGGGGCACGGGTGGCCCAGTCGTCTAAGGCGCCGCGATTCGCTGTGCAGAGTTGCGTCCCTTGAACACGCCAGAAACATATGATTGTGGGTACGAATCCCGGTCCGCCCCGATTATGTTTCTAGGTTTGTCAGCACCATACCCGTGCTCTTGGGTGTCACCGAAGTGGTAAACGTCTGAGACCTGCATCACTTCGCGCTTTCCTGCCACATTAAGCTGGCACGCCGTGATATAACTGGAATACTGTTAAAAGCGGCGTTAAACCAAACTCACTCACTCACTCACTCGAGGGGACACCACCTGTTTTACAACCAGTCTATCCGTGTGGGGAGTCAAGGGCGCGAGAACCTATCTGCATGCTCTCAGCCGCCGTTAGTTGTTCTGCGCACGGGATCCGCCTCCTGGGTTTCTGGTTAGAATAGGTCCCCGGAGCCCCGTGTATATCGTCAGAGTGGAATGAAATGTCTGTCTGTCTGTCATGCTATCAACCATGTGTTTTGCGACCCGGTCTCGATTGTTTATAGGTCGACCTAATATAAGTCGACTTTTGCGGACTGCGGCGTAAAACAACATTCACTCATTCACATGCCGGAACCGACTTAACTGAGAACGATAACTGTATCAAAATATATAGATTCATATTAATATTATAGGCGTGGCATTACATTCATTCCCACATGAAACAGCCTTGCTCCTAATTGTATGTCACAAAATGTCATTACATATTAACACCGAAAAACCATTTTTTTATTCACCTGTTATAGATGTGACATGCAGCGTTCACAAATTTACAATAATCTTGATTGATTTATCGACTATCGATCAGGCCGGGTCTCCGTTCAAAGAGCAACGGCCGCTAAACCCGCCTTATCAGGGTTTAAATTGTCGATATGAATTTACATGCTTCTACACACGCGAAAAACATGGCTTAGCCTGCCCCATGTTTCGAGTTACACCGCTATGGATCTAGGTCGCCCCCTTGTCCTGCAGATCTAATATTTATACAGCTGATGTTCGCTCACCTCAAGTCGATCTGCAGATGGCAGGTCGACTGAGGAGAACGTGGTTGACCTTGTTGGTATAACTCATGAATTAAACGTGAATGAACTATAATATATGAGTGGAAATTGTTATGGTGCTGATTATAATCACAATCATAATCTGGACAAACCCTCAAACAGCCTGCATGGCAATTTATGGACAGAAAAAGGTGGCTCTGTGGTTAAAGTGTTCGCTCGTCACGCCGCAAGACCCGGGTTCTAATCCCCACAAGTTCATGTGATATGGCTGGATGTAACACTGCGGTAGGTGCAATGGTCATACCCACTCACACAGTGTGACTTGATTCACAAAGAGCTATTAGCAGCGACCGAACATTTGACCCGCTAATATTCTGTATAATATATGCATCGGCATCAGCAAGGCATCAGTAGATCAAAATAGGGGGCTGATTGGTCCCTGGATACAGGGAGTTGGTGGTATTTGTTCTGGAATAGACTTGGAAATATACTGTCTTTCATCTGTCTGGTCGTGTTTTATCGTTCCCTGACGTCGTACATCGGTGCTATCCACCTCTGTTTAAAGAGGATGAGACTCGATCACGAGTCAAATGCATCAAATGATCTCTCCAATGGTTCTACAGCGCCCCCGTGATCACCTGCCAAATGCCGGGGTCCGAATCCCAGGTCGATCCCAAAAATTCTCCTTAAAATACCAGCCCCATATACGTTACTTATGATTTTCTCCAGTGGTGGTGGTGGAGGTGGTGGAGGTGGTGGTGGTGGAGGTGGTGGATGTGTATGGGTCGCCCAGTCGTCAAGGGCGCCGCAATTCACTGTACAGGGTTGCTTTCCTCTCACATCAAACTCACGATGGCAGAATTAGTATTGAGTGACTCAGGCTTGTGATCACCAACTAAAATAGTGTTCACAATATGTGATTCTGTGGATATGTATCATGGTGCCTCGGTGGTTCTTTGTTCATGCTATCAATCACTGGTTTGTTTGATTCGGTTACTCACAGACAGACGGCTGAAGTATACAAATGTAATATTGCTTACCGCAACGTAAAACAACAGTTACTCACTATCTGTGCATGCACGAGAGAGTGTGTGTGGGTGTTTTTACTTGTCGGGACACTCGGCCGCAGTTTTACATGGATACCTCACTCAGACGCAGTATACTGACTCAAAGCAGATCAGTCCGTGTTTTATTCCCTTATATCGAACGCCAGGCAGGATAACAACAAGTACCACTTTTTGACGTCTTTTGGTATGACGCGGCCGTGGATCGAACCCCCGACCTTCCGCTCTCCGCTCGGTCCGCTAGACCACGGAGGCGGTCTCACAACCAAAGCATCACTGTTAACCTTATAATGAACAAAAACAGAGTTTTACTATTGTTAATATTTTATTGACATTTAGGATGGAAACCAGCCAGTCCAACTGTACAAAACAAAACATACAAAAATACTTACTTTACATTCTCACTAGCTATAGGTCATTAACCTTTTGGACACATGTACTTCTGGTATGGCGACGACGTGATTTCAACTGGTTGTCAACACAGTAGTTGCGTAGTAATACATCTATTTGAGGATCCCGAATTTCATACCGGATACATGATGCCCTTGATGGCAGTTCCCTTACTTCTTTCCGTCAGTATATATATATTCATGAAATATTTCGTTTAATCTGAATTGATCACTTTGTTTCAAAAACATATATTGCCGTACTGAATTCGAAACGAAATTTGACAATATATGTTCGCAGTAACACTATTTTATCGTGCGACTTTTGGCGCGTTATTGATATTAACGCGCACCCGAGATGCTACGTAAACAATTCGTTTGTTGATTCACTGCACAAAGTGATAACATTCAAAAATAAAATAATTTGAAATTGAGATTAGACTATGAACAGGCAAATCACTGGTTTGGTATAAACACGACGGAGTTCTATCGACAAAGTCTAACACACGTTGTAGAAAGTTCAAGCCCTTTCAACGTTCAGTATCGTATATCTGTCATTTTGACAGTCGTCAAAGGCCCTACAATGCTTCCGTAGAAACTGTGAATAGTGGAAACGACATAGCACATTGATACTGAATACATAAACTTGAGACCCAGTGCGCCCAAACGAAATAAACAAAACCTCGTAGTTTCAACACGGTTGCCAGAGGGACAAACGTGTTCGTCGGAATCATGAAACGTAAAGGTATAAGTGCTTAAATTAGGCCAACTAGGACTGCGGCCATGTATGTTGCATAGGATGATGATGATGCTTTGATCAGCTTCTGTATCTAGTACATTGCTCGTTTTCATTGTGTTAACCTTCAAGCGCCCAACAGGCAGCTTGTGTTGCATACTCCACAGGGAGCTGAGAATAATTGTTGAGTGCGCACTGATCCAGTGACCGGGGTAATAATAGCGCTTTGAGCACGCCCCTGTGTGGTGTGGATATATGCGCAATGTAAACAGCCTGTTATTATTCATGAAATCACGAAAACTAAACTGCGGGCAAAAGAAAGCATACACCCATGTTTGATGACGACTAAAAATGAAACAAACAAGAAATGGTCATTTGATGGTGATGCATTTGATACCGGTATCACAGTTGTGTTTTGGACCTTACGTCTGACGTGTTTCGGCGGCTGTTTACCGCCCAGCAACGTTTTAATAACGTACATAATTTCTTGGTCAAATCCAATCTACAAGTGTATACTTTCTTTGCCCGGCGGTTTAGCATTTGCTCCATCTGTTTAATGAAGAATTACGTTGTTCATTTCCTTTTCCACGGTATTAATGTACTTTTCAGGGTATTAGTGAACTTTATGTAACACTTACATCGGTTTACAGGACACGTTCCCGTCTGGGGTCTCTTGGTGTACCTCATCTTGTAAATAAAAACCAATGTAAGCTAAAACTGTTCCTCGAATCAGATCCCACATTTGTCAATGATATTTAGTTGATCTACCTCGTGGTATTCGAGACAAAGGCAAGTTGTTTGCGAATGCTGAACACTACGTGAGCGCACCACTGCGTTCATTATCTGACACACGGTCCATGTCCCAGTCAGCAGAGCAGTGTTTAATGCCGAGGTTCCATACACCAGGCATGGCAAGCTCATGCATCACGCGTAGTGGGATTCGAACTCTTCTGTTCCGAACACAGACACCTTATCAACAATGTCAAAGTTAGTTCAGATGCCGATATGGATGTCATTAGTTGAACCACCTCTCTAAACCATTCGTCCCATGGAGGAATCTAGATGAGTTTATGTGCCCACCTCACTAAACCTCAAGGGTCTCGAAGCCCATGGGCACTCATTGTCAGAAGGACAGGACACCTTCCTTCTTTAGCCTGTGTGTCATTCACGTTCCTTAGCCATCTGACAATCTGACATGTTTTGTCATCATTACAGAAGTTTGTCCTATTCAAATGACTGCCATTGCTGACGTCAGATCTATCACTAGTTATTGAAGGGGCTTGGAAGATGATTCGTTGTCTTGAGCCACTCCCAGCGCTCTTGATGCTTCTGTTGGAGTGTCGGTCATCCGGGGTGCTGAGCTCCTGTCTGTATATGATAACATTCTGAGCAGATTTCCGGTGACATTTTTGAGAATACAACATGGGAGAGGTGTATGCCCGACACAGGCGTGGGTGTCCTCGGGGAACATTTCTGTCATATTCTATCACTTTGATATTTTCAGACCTGGCAGACGAGCCCCTAAAGTCTCGTTCATAAAACAACCGGGTTGGTTGCTTACTCTGTACGGGGAACCCACACGACGTGCCGCCGACACGGAGATCCGATGTTGTGGCAGATTTCACGAACGGATTTTGAACAGACGACCCTCTATGAATGCACATGGGAGCGTCATCCTCGACCTGACGATTGCCGTTAATTTCTCTGAGGGCTCGGGGTGGATCGACATTCGTTGATCTTTCATCAACGTCATCCCCGCTTGCACTTTCACCCGACGTCTTCGCTGCATACCGTCTGCCTATCTCGTGTAGTTTGACCAGCTTATCATCAAACTTGACCCGTTTGCCTGTTCGCTTTTTAGTATCCGCGCTGTCCCCCCTTTTCGTGAGAATCCCCCTAAGCTTCTTAGTTTCATCTGTTGAAGAAGAATCAGACTCGCTCTCTCGTGACCGACTGTTCTTCAAAATGCCCTTGACGAGACCGAGCGGTTTCGGATCGTCTGATCGCCTGCTGCTCAGACTCAAAGCTTTAGCGTGCTTGTATGAGAGAGGAGAGTTGATCTTCACCACCCCGTTGTAAGGCGACTTCCAGAAAGTGGTCATCCCTGACATCTTCAGCTCATGGCTTCCGAGGAGGACAGTGGAATTCTGGATGGGGCACATGAAAACCCCCTCCCCCTTCCTCAGGTCCAGGGAGGGCAGATGGGTGTGGTCAGTACAGTGCATGGCTGTATCTAATACTCCTCAGGACAACCGCAGCCTTTGTTAGCGTTAATCTGAAACACATAATTAAATCCTTGTTAATCCAAGTCAGTGCAAATGTTTCAATGTTACGCCTTACGTTAGATTTTGTGGGCATATTTATTATATGTGACAGTAATGGTCAGTCTGTATCTGCATTGAACACTAACTTATGCTATTTAAAGCTTTTAAATATCTAAATATTAGTGAGCGAGTGAGTTGCTCGAGTAGTCCAGGTTTTAGACGTTCACCACTTTGGTGAAACCCACGAGCACTTGTATGGTGGTGACACACCTAGAAACACAATCGGGGGGAACCGGGATTCGAATATCTGAAGATCAGTTATTGAAGAGCGAGTGGAGAGTTGGCTTAAATATGCACCAAAACGGATCAGTGTGGGTACATGAACAGTGGACCGGATGCCCTTAGCAAATGTGACGTTTTACACAAATTATGTATAATTAGCGAAAAAGGTATGTTGTATGTGTACAAATATTGATAATTGATATTTAGATGTAAACACAAAGATGCTACAGGGTCCATTGTTTGTCTGGACCGTCTCTGGGCTTTGCATCCCAGATTTGCATGTATGCAGTAAACCTAGGCCCAAGGCGTCTTTGCATCCTTTCAAACTACAACATCCATTAAACACTCCAAGCCGCTGGGACAGCCCTACTGAAAAGGGTATAAAATCATAGAAACCTGCACTTACTGAAAACTGGACAGTCAGGCAATCAGTCAGTCTGTGAATAAGTGAGTCACTGAGGTTTTACGCCAACTTTAGCAGTATTCCAGCAACATCACGACAGGTTAAATCGGACATTTGCTTCACATACTGCACCCATATGATCAATTAATCTGGGATTTTTGGTGTTAAGTGAGAACTCTTTGGTCGCCATTTTACGCCACAGTCCCAAAAAATACGTTAAATACTCTAACTCAATTATAATCAGAAACTGACCACAGTGCTACAGATACTGAGAATACTAATATCAGAGACGATACATGTATACAGTTACCTTATATCATATAAAACTATCCTCTTTCACATGTGTCATGGTGTTGTGGATTAACTATTTGACTAACGATTTACTGTTGTTCGATTCAGAGTAATCGCATGGCTATCAATTCAACAGACGAAACAAACATATGTACCAAAGCAAATGGGTTTATACATCAGAGACTAGTGATCAAGATCTAAGGCCTTCACACTGTTCGACAACGAGTGTACGTTTACGAAAATACTTACTTAATATAGAGTAAGCTAACAAGTGAATAAAACAAAATATGACGTAAACGATATCCTACCAAAAGATCCCAGCAACCGACACACAGAACAATCCTCTGGCCATTGTCCAATCCTAAAAGGCCTGTTTGCATATAGTATCTGTCTTAGACATATCACAGAAACAGACAACGAGACACGGGTAAATCAAGACGCATAACTTCTATGAACCTTAATCCCTTATGGCATCGAGGTATATTTAAATCTCCCACCCCACCGCTCGCACAGGTTCCCTTGAGCCATGACCACAGCAAGAGAGAGAGAGAGAAAGCCGAGTTGTTGATCAGCTCACGGCTAATCGAAACGGCAGAAGGAAATCCCGGCACGGTGAAGCATGCGATACCCGAGGTTGCGTGGCTAATACTGATCAGTCAAACAGGCCTATGTATGATCAGTCAAACGGGTCTTATGCACCGTTGTTGTGAGAACTGGTATGAGTGCATGGATGCTCATTCTGATAAGAACACAATTACTTCTATAAACGTCTTAACCTGCTGTGGATTCCAACCAGTGTATAATCTGTAAGATACATTTTCTTGAAGGTGTAAATCATCATGTGGCCTCTCCACTTTCTGTTGCTTCAATGTATCACTCGTCCTTTAAAGAAGTACCTTGAAATGTATGCTGTAACACATGATCCTATTTTCCCGGACGTTTAGGAACCAAGGACTTAGAATAATCAAGAGAGTCGAGTTAAAAATACAATATCCTCATATCATTGACCGAAAAATAAAGATGTTTATAAAAATATATAAATTATCGATGATTATCATTATTATGATGATCACTACCGCAATGATTTCAGTCAATTGTCAAATATGTGACACATGGTATGACAGTGGTATTTTCACTCAAGTCATTCAAATCAGATACCAATTTATCACATAAAGACAGGGTAATAAAATCATCAAATCCATCTCACCTTACAAAAGCTATTTGCATATAGGCAGTAAATGTAACTGTTATATGTTATTTATGCGCATATATATCCTGAGGATCTCTGCATATGTCCATATACATTATTAACATATAACTACCACCTAGGTACAATATGACATATATTCAACATACGTAATGTACCTTCATCTGAACGTTCGTGTCGTCAACTTTGTCAAACATTGCATTATCATATCTGCTATCAGTATCTATCGTTTATCATAACTACATGATAAATCACCTTTCTAAATTTAGTCCAATGACTATGTATCAAAGAGAGTTTGTTCAGTTAATGTGTTTGTACTGAATCTACCACTACCCTTGATCAATTAATAGATATGTCCGATATGTGTTATCGCTGAATTGAAAGTACACACATGTCGTGGTTAATAGAGTTGTGTTCTCACTATCTTCTCCATTGTATATATTGTTATCTTTGATCGTTACAGAAAAATTATAACAAACAAATCTGTTAATACTTCGGGTTTTTAAACGACCGGTATCCTAATCTTAAGATCTTAAAATAATTAAATGATCAACTTATGAACAAATTACGTTATCACGTAATCGAGAATTAAACAATATATCACAAGTCCTTGAGTAAGCAACGTATTAGCATTTCATAAAATTATCCCAAAATGAATGACGTGAACAATCAACATTAAACAATGTATTTGCAATCACACTGCCAGCACTGTATTTACATTGTGGCAAGACAAATGCAAATGTCATGAAAAAGATATGCCTGATAAGACAACCCTGCCTTACCTAGAATTTCACATCATGGAAACTGTGATCCTCCTGGAGAAATCTGACTCTTTTTTGTCACAGTTTCGTCATAAACCATCCCTGAAGTTGGCAACGATATGATCTATGCTACCTTCAACCACATTCACAGTTACAGTCTTGTAACACCACAGCCCGGGCACAACACGCCATTTTCAATCCACTGACAAATCAATTTCATGCTGATCCACAGGGCACGTGCGCTCTCCCGGTTTAGCTACACAGGTATGTCTCACTCTGACACCACAAGGAAGACATATAGTCGAGAGTCTAGCAACTACTGAAGAGGAAACGTCTTTTGTGTTTCGTAATCCATTTAACTCAACCGAACACTGAACTCTAGCATTTAATCTCTTTTACATGCATGAGTTGGTAAGCAAATAAATAACACCAACTCTCTCAAACATTTCATTATTGCCTTTCAACATAAGGCAAATAGATGTATCGCTGGTATAGCTCTGTGAGCTAATTCACTAGGCACACTGTAGAACTATGAATCCGACTTTGTGAAGGGCCTAATGCAGTAATGTTGTAGCCCTTTAGTAAAACATCGATGTATTGAGATATGAATATGTTTGTAATCTCCTGCACACAATAGCCTAGACTGTGATTGTATGGGACAAGTCATGTAAAGAGTTGGCAATATGACCATTCTCATTATAGTACCATTTCAGATATAGATCGCCGGCCTCGACTCTGACGTCATATCTTTACAGCAAACCGCCTTTAAGAATATTTACACTTTACACTACAGCACATTGACTTTATTGCCCATTTAATGACTGTTAACACGATGTATAATTCATAACACGTAGGTATATATCAAAAGTGCCCCTGCAAATATATGAACACAGTAAACAAATTGAAACATTCTATTGAGTTTTAAGCCGGCAATAAAGAAATACTCAAAGGTATACACATATAACTTATTCAACCGATACTGGAGTTATGACCACATTATAACTTAGAGTTCTTTATATTCCGCTGACACAAACAAGACAAGAAGAACTTTCCATTGCTTTGAAAGTAACGAAAAAGGTAACGGATATGTAACGTTGCCGTTGGTCGTCAGGCCCATGGAGAGACGTTGGGCTATTATTTACGTATAATCAGGGCACGATATTGAAATAGGCAAATCAGCTGGAACGGGTTGTCATGTTGTGTCACCTGTAGTTTTGAAAACTTACACGGTGCGTGTTACTGTGACAATGGAGGGTAAGTGTTCCACAGTTCTATAAGACAAGGTTAACATGTTAACTACTTGTCAACCTGACGCAACGCTCAAACTCGACTGAGATATTATATCACTTTCTGAAACATACACAATTTACATAGTAGATAAACTGAGGTGATATTTAATTGCATATTTTGATCAGGTTATTTGAAATGACCTGAAATTGAACTTTGTTGGCGCACATGCAATTCCTGTCATTTCAATCTCTGTATTCGGACATTCACGTTATGATAAACTCACTGTTCCGACAATAATCAACTTCGGTATATACAGAACAAAATAAGTTAGGGATCATGAATAAATTTGGGTTTTTTTTAAAGTGAAGACTGAACACACAATTTCATAAAAATATCCCCCAAAATATTCATGATCCCTAACATATTTGCTAAGTATATAAGAATTTTATTCATTATTGTATAGGCCCTTCTGAAACCGGTAAGTTTTAAAGAACCTGCTTGTTCTAGACTGAAGAACTCGTAGGTTCACATGAACCTAAATAAAAAAACTATTTGGTATTTTTCGACAATATTTTCTTAAGCATTAAACATTTAACATTAAACAATGATGAATGACGAATGAAGCATAATTGTCCAAATATCGTATTGTATCAACATCTTTCGTAAACCTCATATTTCACCATTGCCACAGTAGTGGCGTTTTTTGTGTACTTCATTGGATATATTTTTGTAATGTTAAATACTGACATATATGTTACAAATTTCCATGTATGTCATGTTATATTCATATTACAAAATTCAATTTTTATTTCCAGGTGTATAAACATGGCACTGTGTTTGGACAAGGATCTGTATGATCCAACATAACCAGCGAACACTACTAACCAAACAGCGATCCTCAGATCCTGGGGCTTCCTTGACAATGATTAATTCTTTTCCACAAAAGTCCCCCCTACAATGGTCAATCAATGATGAAGTGTCCAGTGACCAAAATGGCCATACCGGTATTCAAGGCACGCTGAAGCTCGACGTCAGGTATCAATGAATCGATACTCCAATATGTAGGTTACCTGACTTCTAATCCAGTTGAGGAGTCACCGTGTGATGTGCACCCCGACAAGGGATTAACTAACCCTTATCACCACCCAAGGATTATATCGCTCTTAGCACACACCCGGGGATAAGACCCATGAGTTGAGGGTGGTGACTTACTGGTTCTGTATACATCCTTAATATGACCTCATGATGACATCTACAATACTTCATGTACGCCTAGTTGAACTGTCTGTGTAAAATGTTTGTTTGACAGTCTTAGTGCAATTTTTTTTAAAGTAGACTAAGCATACACATATCTAGTTAATAGATTTATTTATGAACCAATACGTATTTACATGGTAGTGAAGCCTTTTATATAATTGGAATTATACAAATTCATATCCATATGAATTGTGCAATATGAAGAATGTGTACGAATGTGCTACGAATAAATGCCACATTCTTTCAAAGAGGCTCACTGCAATGTCAGTTGATATAGTGTCTGATGTGATACAATAGCATCTACAGTAAACTACCCTTATAACGAACACGCTTATAACGTATTGACATATGTAACAAACTGTTTTAGTACCGTCAATTTGCTGTAAGTATACTGTCAATATCATATTACTAACTACGGTTGTAACGAACTAAAATAAGTGGTCCCTTTGAGTTAGTTATTACCGCAGTTTACTGTGTTATATTTTACACAGCCTTTACATTGTACCGAATTCGAGTTTACGGATAATTGTTAACATTGTATGTTATGTCTTTCAGCGATGCTTGTGTCTGTACTTATAACGATCATGTACTAATGTACTGATTAATTCCTCTCCCAAACACTGTAAACAAGGAAATAAAATCTCCTCTTCATAAATCTATTTTCTATAAGTAAAGACAATTTGTTATCTGAAAAACATTCTGAGCGTACCTTTAGCACATAGTACGTAAAGTGCATCGACACGTTACTTCTTGTCAAATTCCTCAAAGTTCTAAAACGCTTGAATAGATTGATGTCCTGCACCATCGATCTATGCTGTCAATGCAGTATATTCAATATTTCAATCATACTAAAGTGTAAACATATAGGGTATGTTATACTGTAGCGACAATCACTCGACCTTTCAACGATATATGTCTAATCATCAATGCCTGTATGAAATGTAACACTGCATCAACACCTCATTGTTCATATGATATATACAAAATCAACGTGTTATCATGCCAAAGACGATATAACAATGTCTAAAGTATGTAACACTGACAGCGACCTCACCTTTCAATGAACTTTGTCCAACACCTAAATTCCGAATTGATATATACTACACCAACAAGTTATATTGCCAATGATATATACCCGATATAACACTGTCTAAAGTATTTAAGACCTACATTTCAATGATGCCTGAATCATCAATGCTCATATACAACTTCAACTAATTCTTCACATGATATATGCCCAATATAACAATGTATACAGTATGTAACACTGACAGCGCTACCTTTCAATGATGTATGTCCAATACATCAATTCTCTTATGACATAAAATGAATCAACTGTTATCTTGCCAATAATGTAAGCCCACATCTTCACTCATGCTACAATTCATATGTAAGTAACGCTGACAGCGACCCTACCTTCAAACGACATATGTCCAATACCTCAAGAGCGAGAGAGCCGTTTTTCTCCTGTCAGCCACCAGTTACTGGACCTGGCACTACACAGCGAGGTGGTGTGCTTCGACAAGGGACTACTCTTGGACCATAGGTATTTACATTCAGCTAGGAAGGAGGGGACTTGGTTGGCCCTTTCAGGTCTCGCACACACACCAAAAGCAAAATGAAGCTGGCTTCATCCCGATACACGATTTGTTTGTTTGTAGAGGCTTTGCTGTTGTCCCAAGTTGATTACGGTCTGCGGGCCACCAGCGTCCGACCTTGGGAAGACCATAACAGACTCGGGACTAGGAGGGGGTTAGCGTTAAGAAAATGGGGACTAAGGGCCTTTGGTTGTGACGGGGGCGAGGCGTCAATCAGCGGTATAAATAAGCAGTGACGTAAATTTTCGACTGAACACCCACACGATAATAAAAAATCACTTTGGATAGTGGGCTGTTTTTCTGAAGGTGGATTGAAAGGGTTTAGAGGCTGGGGTAAGAAAGACAGAGATGCGGTATCTGTTAAATATTTCATGACGTCATTCAATGGAGGGATTTACAGCACTGCCAGAAAATAAAAAAAGCTCTTATGTCTTGCTGCAGGCAGAGATTACGAGGAATGCGTTCGGAAACATTCAGAGAGTGTATCTTGCAGAATTTCTACGAAGCGCCAAAGCTGACAGTTGTACGGCGCCAACTCGCTTGTTGTATCGGACTCATGACTGATAGGCATGCTTAAGTAGGATACTTCTTGGATCAACTGTCCATTGGAACAGAATCATGGATGAAATGATAAATGGAACAGAATCATGGATATATATCTATATATGCCTTTGATGTATATATATGAATGAATAAGAAAGAAAGAATTAATTTATATAATACATATGATTTGTATGATAAATATAGAAATATATATCACATATATCGATAGTTGGATGATGGCTGGATAGATAAGGGAATGGACAGATGCATGTATGGATAGAAACGAAACAATAAACAATGTATTGTGAGAATGCGATGCACTATTACTTTTACTTTCTTCCTCCGACAACAACCCAACTGGTCACTTGTATAAATGCAAACACGTCGAAAAGACATCAAACAGGTAAACGTTAATTCAAACGAAGAAAGACTAAGAATAATTAACACAAAAACAATGGAATGTCGAAAACTGTTTGTTCTCTTGTTAGACGATTATCAGAAGAATGTTTAAAAGGTAAAGATTCCCACAGACACAAACAATGAGTGATGCAGAGCCGGTGTAACGATGAACACGGCGGACCAAATATTGATGGACAAACTCTGTGTCTTGGTATATAATTACGTTTGTTCGACAATGGAATGTACGGGAACCATTCTGCTTCATCTCAACCATGTGTACATTGTCTATGTTGTATATCGAGTGAAACATAGAACGAGGTAGGGTAAGGCCAGTTTAGCCCATCAGTAATAAACAATTTATAGTTGCAGATAACTTTGAAATATTGTTATGAAAATTATCAAACATGTTCAAATTGTCTATTTTTGTTTCTTACACTTGCAAGTTTTGGAGTCAGGACATTATTAAATACATAAATAAAAACATGGCTAAAATAACACGAGGCTGAATTTTCGAAATTCCAGAAATCTGTAAATAGGACC